TTCTTAAGGACGCCAGTCTGGTGAATTGACCCAACACACCACTTCCTTTTCTCATATCTTTATCTAGTGTGGGCTCTCTTTTTATTACGGGCCCACCGCATCGTCAGGTCCGGCACACCATAACTGACTTTTTCATATTACTATAGGTCATACAGGGACCTTACATACCTACTTCTAATATGCTCATTATGGCTTAAAATGCCACTGTCAGAATTACTAGTTGATACAGCACGCAGAAATAGTTTCACACCTAGGACTAAGGGTAACGTCTCACCAGACCTTAGAATGTCCAGGCTTAACGTACTCAAGAAAAGTCAAAATACTTGCCGAGGTCAGGGAAACAGAATGAGACACAACGATGAGGGAAAGCCAAAAGTCAAGGATACCAGAAATCAGGAAAGTCAAAAACAAAGCCAGAGTCAAATACCAGAAATAATACGATCAGGGACACTCTCTCAGATAACCAGGCAAGGGAAACCACGACAGGGCATTGGCAAAAAGGTAATTTGGGTTTAAATAATCCTCTTTGTCTGCAATTGGCTGTCTCTGCCTTCTAACCACAAAACGTGTGCACACATGTTGGTGCCATCTTTGATATGGGGAAGGTAAGTTCTTTATAAAAGTCTGGTCCACAGTGGCCGGCGGTTTTAAGAACTTCGCACCCACTGGGGACCAGAACGGAGGGAGACCGGGTAACTGCCTGCCGAGCCCCCGGTAAGTTGAAAACATCTCTGACGGCGTGGCTGTTATGTTTGAGGGCAGCCACGCCGGCAGAGATGTCGGAGTCTGTGACAGCCACGACCATAAATATATATATATATATATATATATATACACACACATACACACACCATGGGTTGTCAACCTGGTCCCTACTGCCCACTAGTGGGCATTTCAGGATTTCAGGTGGGTTGTAGGGGGTTCAGCGGCACAACAAGCTGAATCCTCCTTCCATCGAGAGAATGGGCGGGCGCAAGTACACAAACGCACATGAATGCGTACATACGCGCCCGAACTCGTGAGAATAATGTGTGCAAATCAATTTATAACTTTTTTGACATGCGTTTTCAGGATTTGTTTTGTTGTTGTTGTTGTTATTCTGTCTCTCACTGTTAAAATACACCTACCATTAAAATTATAGTCTCATAATTTCTCTATCAGTGGAAAAACTTTCAAAATCAGCAGGGGATCAAATACTTTTTTCCCTCACTGTCAGTGGCAATTAATAGAGCAGGTGAAGGGAGGCTGTGTGAGTCTTAGCCAGTGGGGGTGTGGTTAAGACAGAACAAAAAGTGATTTAACTCCTAAATAGCAGAGAATTGAGCATGACTGTATGGGCACGGTCTGCATGCCAACTAAACAGGCTTTCATAATTAAGATTTAATTTAAAGGCATCTTTTTTACAACATTTAATCGGATACTGGTATTCTTTGTAGCACATATTTTGGCAATTTGTGCAGTAGAAAAAAGACTTTCCTATTGGTTTTCTCAGCTCGCATTTACCTTCATCTTCCATGTAATCCCTGGGATTTTGTAATAGACCCTGAGTGGGCTTCTTGGTAAATGTATTCACAGACTCATCCTTGGGAGATTTCAACTGCACCTGTTCGGAAAATATTACTGTAAATCTGGAAACTGCACATGACAAATGCATAGCCCCCTTTTGGCATACGCTTTATCTACCCCATACCCCACCAAATGACTCAGATACCTTGTAATAGGAAAATTGTTATCACAGCTTTATTGATATAAAGATGAACATATAAAATTATAAGGTCATTGTCAATACAATGATACACAGAGAAATTGTAATGTGCACACGTGCTCCCCAGTGGGTAAATGCATATAAAATAAATTTATCCCTTTTGAGATTGTAATCAGATCCCTATAATGAAATATGGAAAATAACAATCTACAAACATAAAAACAGAGACCAGAAATGGTATAATATGTCACAGCACCAGAAGTGCGCTTATTTAAAAGTTGCACTCACAAGATGGAAGTACAATGTAGGCATATAGGAGTCTTTAACATTCTGAGGAGACTCGTGTATTCTTCATTTCACCTTAATTAGAGGGAGACACACAAGAACATAGTGCACCAGTAGAATCAGTAACATATAATTTTATTCAGATTGCACTCACAAGATAAATGATAAAATCCTGTGTATCACACACTAAGGTGTTCCCAGTGCCGAAATCTCTTCTCCTGGGAGCAAGTGATTTGAGGAAACCGGATGGAGCAAAACAATGAACAAAAAAAACTGAACAGTATACAATAAAATATAGGAAAAAGTCCAGTGAAGGTGCTGCCTTGGTCTCTCCGCCATCTGCTTTTCGTCCTCAAACAGGACTTCTTCAGGGAAAAATCAAGGTGAAGACTGTGCTATCCTCTGTCCGCTTTTTAAATATGATTGTTGAAAATCCCGCCGTTTTTCTTTGCCAATTTCGGTGTACCCGTATGATTGAAATCACCTGTAGCCGTCTTCCAAATCTCTTTTCAGATCTGCGGTTCAAATAATGCTTCCTGTATCACGTGGAATGCAACTTGCGTTCCAAGATTGTGTACCCGGAAGTCATCAAGTCAGTGTATAAACAAGGTGTAGATAGGGAGTTTGAAAGTAAAGAAGAGAATTAAGATATAGATCAGAACATAAAATGAATCATTATAAAGACAAAATGACTTTGGTAGTGGTAAGAAAAAGGGTATCATGGTAAAATACAAGAAAGGGTAATATATTAACAAAAATGGAATATATTAAAAATATCTACAATTTAAAGTATATTAACTAAAATAAAACAAAAGTTCATTCCCCAATATAGAAAGGTACTCAGATGACAGAGATGGGTAGAGCAAAATTATATTGTAAAAAAAAAGAAAAAAGTTGTAAAAGTTACATATAAAAAGAATTAACTATAATAAATTACAAAAAACACACCATGTCAAAATCGACATTTAGCCCAATAGGGCTAAAAGTCTTCAAATTAAAAATCCAATAACCTTCTCTTTGTCGTAATTTCTTAATTAGATCACCTCCTCTGTAGAGTTGATTGAACCTGAACTGAAAAGTTCGGGTTCGTACCAAACATTACGTTTTTTTGGACCACGTACCCGAACACGGACATATAACTGTATGTTTGTGTTGGAGTTTGGTGTTCGGCGATTAAATGGCATGTTTTGAAAGGCTGCAGGGCTTGTGTGCCCTTGGAAGCCATCACAGCCATGCCTACTAATGGCATGGCTGTGATTGGCTAGTGCAGCATGTGACCCAGCCTCTATTATATAAGCTGGAGTCGCGTAGCGCCGCACGCACATGCATCTTATTAGTGTAGGGAGAGGATGCTGCTGCTGATAGGGACAGCTTAGGGAAGAATTTTGCAAACTAGTACATTAGTGGGGTGCACCTCATATCCGAGAGTCAAATAGAAGCGTCAAATACCGTGGTTACATCAGAGTTTTAAAAAGTCATTTTTTTTTGGTGGGGTAGTACATTAGTGGGGTGCACTTCATATCTGAGAGTCAAATAGAATCGTCAAATACTGCGGTTACAGTGCAATTGTAAACATTCTAATTGTTTTGCTGCTAAACTGCTAAATAGTACATTTTGGGGCGTGCCCTTCATATCTGAGAGTCAAACAGAAGCGTCAAATAGTTCGCTTACTGCGCAATTGTAAACATTCTAATTGTTTTGCTGCTAATCTGCTGCTTACATTTCAGTTTTAAAAAGTTTTTTTTTTTTTTGGCGCTAAATAGTATATTTGGGGTGTTCACTTCATATCTGAGAGTCAAATCGAAGCGTAACTTTTATTTGAATTTACTACATCGGTCACTTGTAATATTGTTTCACACCTACACAGATCTAAGTGATCGTAAACAGATTGATATTTTCTACACTAGAAACTACCAGATAACAAGCTGCTATATTTAAACCAGTGATCAATAGCTAAGAGGTACTTCAACAATATTGTAATTCTGGGGCAATACCCTCACAAGTCAAACGGAGAGGTCAGTTTATAGGGAAAACTGTTGCCTGGATACAATTCTAAAACAATTTCCATATGTCCTTTGCAGACTTTACATGCTGGAAAAACACAGGTGCCAACTGCTGTGGCTTTCTGCAGTGTGCATACCGGCAAGGAGGGCAGGGTTGATGAGTGGGTGGAAGATGATGTGGAGGATGATGAGGTGCTAGACCCCACATGGAATCAAGGTCATGCGAGTGACATGTGCAGTTTGGAGGAAGAGGCGCTGGTCGCACAGAGGCACCAGCACAGCATAAGAGGGAGCAGGGTGCAAAAGCTGAGCTGCTGTCCCCTAGCACTCGTGAGCATGTATTAGCTTGAGAATTACCAGTTATCCAAGTAATACATGTAGCGATCAAAGGATCCATAATAGAGTTGAGCAAATCCGAACTGCGAAGTTCGGGTTCGTACCAGATATAACGATCCATTCATAGTTTCACAGTCAGGTGGGCAGTCCTGTGACCAGGACCCAGATACTGTCTGGGCAGCAGTCGGACGACCGGGACCCAGTATGCCTGATGTTGAAGTTAGGAGTCACAGTGTGGAATGGATTAGCAGGGTCTGGTGCAGGGTAACCGCACGCCCCCTGGTGTTGAGCACCAGCGTTTGTGTGGCCACATACCAGGACCCTGATGCAGCTTCAGTAAAAAGAGTACTGGATACCAGAAGCCATCACCAGACTGATCCGCAACTTGGAACAGGATGTGACATTCACTGTAGCGGCTGTGCGCGCTTTTGGCGTTCTCACCCTGCTGCTGCTCGCCTGTCTGCGCTGCAGCGTAACTTTGGCCTTCCCGCTCACCGCCTCATGAGACTGTGCGAGCAGCAGCAGGCGATAGTGGAGTTTCAGCTGCAGCACGCACGGGTCAGTGGCTCTGCACCAGACTTCTCTCCAATTGATCAGAGTTAAAAGATTTCAAATGTACTCATTACAATTACAGGGCCTCTGTACAATTAAGAGTCCTGTATTGTTATTTGTCGTCACTACCTTCCCGCGTCGGGAGTGGGTCATTTGCGCGCCTGCTGCCTTCCTTGCATGTGGTAGTCGTTTCTCAGGGTCCCTGTACAGAATGGAACCCTGATTCCCTGTTATCCGTGGTCACCATGGTAAGAGCAGAAACTGGCATCGAAAGTTGATATGGATGACATCCGCATGCAAAGTCGCCGCCACGGGGATGTGCAATTGGCCTGAGGTACTCTAGAGTCAACAAAGTGCCTTCGCAACTATAATGTCAACAGCTACGCGGAACAGAGTTGTCTTTTATATGTCCCAAAATTTGGGGGGCTTCTCCAATTAAAATATATATATATATATATATATATAAATAAAAACAGTGTTGGCTACCTCATCCTCCTCCTCCACCACCACGGTCACCGCCTCCTCAACCTATGGGTCACTTAGTATAAACTATGTACACATTAGCAGAGGCTTGTGAAAGCCTTTTCTCCATGCATCAGGAGTTAAGCATTTCTCCACGCATCAGGACTGCAAGAAATGCACTACAGGCCGCAAATGTTTCTTTTTTTGTATGTCCCAATATTTTGTGGGCTACCACAATTAAAATAAAATAAAAAAATATATATATATATATAAAACACAGTGTTGGCTACCTCATCCTCCTCCTCCACCGCCACGGTCACCGCCTTCTCAACCTATGGGTCACTTAGTATAAACTATGTACACATTAGCAGAGGCTTGTAAAGGCCTTTTTTCCATGCATCAGAAGTCGAGCATTTCTCCATGCATCAGGACTGCAAGAAATGCACCGCAGGCCGCAATTGTTTCTTTTTTAATATGTCCCAATATTTTGGGGGCTACCCCAATTAAAAAAAAATAAAAAAATAAAAAAAACAGTGTTGGCTACCTCCTCCTCTTCCACCGCCGCTTCCATGGTCATCACCTCCTCAGCCTATGGGTCACTTGGTATAAACTATGTATTCAATAGCAGACGCTTGTGAAGGCCTTTTCTCCATGCATCAGGAGTTGAGCTCAGTTTGAACAATGAAAGAGAATACCCTGCACTCCAACCCTCTCTCAAATGAATAATTCTGGTGATTCTCCTGACAGCCATGCTTTAGATTTTGATTTATGTTCTTCTAAAGCTAAAATCAAAGATTCTATCTAGTGCTATTTTATGGCTCAGCTGTATTTTTAATTTTGATGTTATTTTAAGTGATTTCCCTATCCACATTTGTTTGTAGGGCACTTGTCCTACTCTTACCCCCATTTTACTTGCTTTTGCAGCTCTCTAGCTCTTTCCAGGAGTTTTTTAGAGGCATTTTTGTGCCCAAAAGTTTGGGTCCCCATTGACTTCAATGGGGTTCGGGTTCAAGTTCGAGCCCGAACCCGGACTTTTTTTCAAAGTTCAGCCGAACCCGCCGGACCCAAACATCCAGGTATCCGCTTAACTCTACTCCTCTGTCGTCTACAGTAACCTTTTTCAAGCCCGTGCATAAAAAGGATTTAAACTTAAAATCATGACAATTGTTACAATGGACTGGTATTGAGTGAATAATTAATTTTTTTGTTATATTATTGCAGCGTTCCATGAATTTTCAACACTCTACTGGTCCTTCCTACATACTGAATAACACATCCACAAGTTAAAAGATAAACTACATTAGTATTGCAACTAATATGTTCCTTTATTTTAAATGATTCTCCTGTTTTATGACTATTAAAAAATGTGTTTTTTTAGGTAAACATCTACATCCTTTACATCTCCTGCACTTATAAAGGCCCTTAAATTTCATGGTGTTGATTTCTTTAGCTCTAAAAGTACTAGGAGCCAAAAGAGTCTTAAAATTTTTACTATTTTTAAAGATCATTTTAGGCGCTGGTGGGATCGGTTTCTTTAAAAAAATCGTCTTCCAATAATAGAGGCCAGTGTTGCTTGAGAATTTTTTTAATTTTAAAAGCTGGGCGTTATATTGGGTGACAGAGGACAAAGTAAAAGTATCGTTTAGATTAGTATTTTTATTCATAAGTAGAGTTGAGCGAACCCGAACATTACGATTTTTGGACCAGAACCCGGACATTTTAGTAACAGTTCGGGTTCGAGTTCGGTGTTCAGCGATTTAATGGCGCGTTTTGAAAAGCTGCAGGGCAGCCAATAAACAAGCATTTGACTTGTATGTCCTTAGAAGCCATCACAGCCATGCCTACTAATGACATGGCTGTGATTGGCCAGAGCAGCATGTGGCCCAGCCCCTATATAAGCTGGAGTCACATGAGCTCTTATTAGTGTAGGGAGATGATGCTGCAGCTGTGATGGACAGATTAGGAAAGAATTCTGGTGTTGAATCTGCAAACTATTGCGATTATTTTTGTGGGTGCTATACTACATTTTTGTACCCTGCCCTGAGCCCAGTGCCACAGAGAAATGAGCAATTAGTCTGTTTGTTAGGTGGGCACTTGCAACTGCATGTGTGCCAGGCAGATTACTTTAATCCTGTTTTGGTAGCTCTGTGGGCAATATCTAGGCATTTTTAAATACTGCTGTGACATTGCAGTTTGACAAATTCAAATTTTTTTTGTGCTAAAAAGTAAATTTCTGGTGTGCACTTCATATCTGAGAGTCAAATAGAACCGTCAAATACTGCTGTGACATAGCAGTTTGACTAATTCACATTTTTTTGGTGCTAAAAAGTAAATTTGGGGCATGCACTTCCTATCTGAGAGTGAAATAGAAACGTGAAATACTGTGGTTACATCACAGTTTGACCAATTCACATTTCTTTAGTGCTAAAATGTAAATTTGGGGCATTTACTTCACATCTGAGAGTCAAATAGAACCGTCAAATACTGTGGTTACTAGTGATGTACCGAACTGTTCGCTGGCGAATAGTTCCTGGCGAACATAGCGTGTTCGCGTTCGCCACGGCGGGCGAACACATGTGCGGTTCGATCCGCCCCCTATTCGTCATCATTGAGCAAACTTTGACCCTGTGCCTCACGGTCAGCAGACACATTCCAGCAAATTAGCAGCAGACCCTCCCTTCCAGCATCCATTTTAGATTCATTCTGAAGCTGCATACTTAGTGAGAGGAGGGAAAGTGTAGCTGCTGCTCATTAGATAGGGAAATTGATAGCTAGGCTAGGGTATTCAGTGTCCACTACAGTCCTGAAGGACTCATCTGATCTCTGCTGTAAGGACAGCACCCCAAAAAGCCCTTTTTAGGGCTAGAAAATTTTTTTTTAATTTTTTTTTTTTTCTGTGTAATGTAATTGCAGTTGCCTGCCTGCCTGCCTGCCAGCTTCGGTGTCAGGCTCACAGTGGATCCTGTGCCCATTTGCCCAGTCAGTGCCACCACTCATTTCTGGTGTCACAATAGCTTATGCTTGACATTTAAAAAGAAAAAAATATTTTTCACTGTAATAGATTGAATAGCAGTTAGTTGCCTGCCAGCTTCTGTGTCAGGCTCACAGTGGATAATGTGCCCATTTGCCCAGTCAGTGCCACCACTCATATCTGGTGTCACAATAGCTTAAGCTTGACATTTAAACAGAAAATTTTTTTTTTTAACTGTAATAGATTGAATAGCAGTTACTTGTCAGCCAGCTTCTGTGTCAGGCTCACAGTGGATACTGTGCCCATTTGCCCAGTGCCACGACTCATATCTGGTGTCACAATAGCTTAAGCTTGACATTTAAAAAGAAAAAAAAATTTTTCACTGTAATAGACTGAATAGCGGTTAGTTGTCTGCAAGCGTCTGGGTGTCAGGCCTTCAGCGTGTGCTCTGCAGACGTCTGCCCGTGTACTTTGCCACTCATATCTGGTGTGTCTATAGCGTGCTTTTACAAAGAAAAAAAGTTTTTCAGTGTAAGCTAATAGCAGTCAGTGTCCTTAAAGCGGGTGTCAGGGCTCCTTCAGCGTGTGCTCTGCAGACCTCTGCCTGTGTACTTTGCCACTCATATCTGGTGTCTCTATAGCGTGCTTTTACAAAGAAAATAGTTTTTCAGTGTAAGCTAATAGCAGTCAGTGTCCTTAAAGCGGGTGTCAGGCCTCCTTCAGCGTGTGCTCTGCAGACCTCTGCCCGTGTACTTTGCCACTCATATCTGGTGTCTCTATAGCGTGCTTTTACAAAGAAAAAAATGTTTTTCAGTGTAAGCTAATAGCAGTCAGTGTCCTTAAAGCGGGTGTCAGGCCTCCTTCAGCGTGTGCTCTGCAGACCTCTGCCCGTGTACTTTGCCACTCATATCTGGTGTCTCTATAGCGTGCTTTTACAAAGAAAAAAAGTTTTTCAGTGTAAGCTAATAGCAGTCAGTGTCCTTAAAGCGGGTGTCAGGCCTCCTTCAGCGTGTGCTCTGCAGACCTTTGCCCGTGTACTTTGCCACTCATATCTGGTGTCTCTATAGCGTGCTTTTACAAAGAAAATAGTTTTTCAGTGTAAGCTAATAGCAGTCAGTGTCCTTAAAGCGGGTGTCAGGCCTCCTTCAGCGTGTGCTCTGCAGACCTCTCCCCGTGTACTTTGCCACTCATATCTGGTGTCTCTATAGCATGCTTTTACAAAGAAAAAAAGTTTTTCAGTGTAAGCTAATAGCAGTCAGTGTCCTTAAAGCGGGTGTCAGGCCTCCTTCAGCGTGTGCTCTGCAGACCTCTGCCAGTGTACTTTGCCACTCATATCTGGTGTCACAATAGCGTGCATTTAAAACCAAAAAACTTTTTTCACTGTTATAGATTGAATAGCAGTTAGTTGTCTCAAAGCTGGTGTGTCAGGCTCACAGTGGATACTGTGCCCAGTGCCACCACTCACTCACTGGTGTCACAATAGCTTGCATTTAAAAACAAAAAACTTTTTTCACTGTTATAGATTGAATAGCAGTTAGTTGTCTGCCAGCTGGTGTGTCAGGCTCACAGTGGATACTGTGCCCAGTGCCACCACTCACTCACTGGTACCCGGACGAAATTTATTTTCACAAAAGGCAATCCCCAACCTGTACTCGATTGTGCAAAAGGAAATAATGGCATGTCTGGCACACAGTGTTGGGGCAAGGGTCCATCTGACCACTGATACCTGGTCTGCAAAGAATGGTCAGGGCAGGTATATCACCTACACTGCGCATTGGGCAAAACTGCTGACGGCTGCCAAGCATGGAATGCGTGGCTCTGCAGAGGAGTTGGTGACACCGCCACGACATGCAGGCAGGCCTGCTGCCACCTCCTCTACTCATCCTACTCCATCCTCTTCCATAACCTCCTCGGCTGAGTCCTCTTCTGCTGCTGCGTCTTGCTCCACATCAACGGATAGGGGACGTAACAGGGATTAAACTGATAAGAATAGTACTACTTA